ACCTCCTCACCCTAGCCCTAACCCCAACCCTAACCTTACCCTAACCTAACCCTAACCCTAACTTAACCCTAACCCTAACTCTAACCTAACCCTAAAACTCGAGCTGTTCTTCCATGATTGCCACAAAAACCCTCCTCTTAATGGTCATGGGACTTGCAGGACGTGAAAATAGCGGGAAAGCGAAAAATTGTCGAGCCCCGCGTCGAATCCTGGGACGAGTCCTGGCTCGAATCACGGCTCGGTATATTGGCATCCTCGGTTTTGTGACCAGTTCGCGTGTCATGATCTTTGCTGTGATTGGTCATAACACAATAAACATTCCGAAGATATTTCAAGTGTTCTACGGTTTTCGCGGTCTCACTGTAATTCATTCAGTACGTACAGAATTTTTAAATATATTGTGGTTCAACCATCAAAGTGGCTGACTAACTGGTACGGCAAATGGGCCAATTGTTCAGTAACTGTTTCCGCTCAGTTTCAGTAAGGTTCATCGTGTATTTATTGCAATTGAGCCTTTGAGCCGGCTTGTTCTGGCAGAAAACAAAAATCAACCACCAAAGGCAAAGAATTTTAAGTTTGGCGAGTTAAATTTTCGTGGAATGCACTTCGTGGCAACTTGGGTAAGGGGATGTGTCATTGCAGCGTGCCTTCTTTTCGTTGTCCGTGATCTGACACGAAAACTTTGTCCCAGTCTTCCGCTTCGTGAAAGAAAAGTTAAGGGGAGGGGGACAGGAGGAAAGTTGAAATTCGAAACTCGATTTTCGCGCTTCAGAGATGGACCGCTTGATAACGACTTTTCAAGTTGAAAAGTGACTTTTAGAATCGACTTCTTAGTTCGTAAATTGACAGTAGTTTGCGTTTTTACGACGGTTTCCGACGGACAAAGCTTAGGCCGATTTGTGGGTATAAGAAAAATACAAGACTTCCAAAAGGCACTCACCGCCATACACAATCTTGTAACCCTTTTTTTTCGAATTCATTGCGAATCTTTCTTTTGTACACTGAACAAGGAATAGGAATGTTCCCAAACAATGTGGCACAATGCATCTAGATGCAGCCATCGTCTTAGTCTTCTGGTTTCTTTGATCACCACACCTGAAGCGGTGTCTCAGGCTACCCATTGCGTGGTTTTTCAAACGTATGCGTGATTAAACGACTTGTAGACTTTATGTGACCACTCGTATATTTTTCCACAAATAACACTGCACAGTAATTTTCAAGGAGTTATAATAACTCCTCTATTGGGGCTAATTTAACTCCTTACAGTGGAGTTATTTTTTGTGGAGTTATTTTAACTCCAAAAAAGAGTTTAAAGAACTCTATTTCAGGGGTAAAAGTGACCCCAGATATTGAGGAGTTAAAATAACCCCAAAAAAGGAGCTATCCTGTACCTGAAATTTTTACTGCACTTTCAGAGTTAAGTTAACTCCAAAAAGAGTAAAAACAACCCATATAAGAAGTAAAAATAACAGAGTTATGTTAATTCCAGACTGGGAGTAAAATGAACTCTTTTTCAGGAGTAAAAATGAGTTAAAGTAACCCCCAAAAAGGGGTTATCCTGTACCTAAAATTTTTACTCCATTTTTGGAGTTATAATAACCCCCTAAAAATTACGGTGTGGGAAAAGCAGTGCGATCAAAAGGGTAGACAAGACGCGGAGACAACATAGAGAGGGAGAGTGAGAGAGATTCTCGTTCCATTGCCCCCCCACCCCCTTGAGTCTTGCTAAGGCCAGGAGCCTATAATAATGGGCTCCTGCTTAGGCTCAATTACTAGCCGCTGTTTGGGAAATGAACCTGCGCTCCTCCTCCAAACTGGCGGCCGCCTCTTCTCGGGGAAGAACCGAGAGAGTGGCGGGAAATCGAGCCAAACTCTTGCACCCAGTCTACCCAGCGAATTTCAGGGCTGCGCACCCCCAGCAGACAAGGCTTGCACTGAAGGCTAGCATGTGTTCGTCGCCGCTCACACATCAGAAAAAGAAGAAAGTTTGCCACAAATCGGTTAATTTTCTTAACTTAGTGGCAATATTTAATACTACAATCATGACATTGTCACCACACAACTAACCACGTCACTTCTAACAAAAATGCGCTGCCACACACACAGCGCAACGATTGTTTTTAGCATTTCAGTGCTTTCTTAAGACCTGTGACATCTGTCTGAAAAGAGGTACTAATATGCGAAGGTCTAAATGGGGGTACCTCGGTAACAGTAAACACTTCATTTTTTGGCTTTGTAACATGAAACGGTTCAGTTAATAAATTTTAGGCATTTACCACCAACAGTGAAAAATTTTTTGAAACAGTAAATTTTTTCCAGAAAGAAGCAAAAACGGCTCCAAAAAGGCCAACATTATTTTGTTTAGTATAACAAGGGGTTTTCGACCATTTTAGGACAATTTATTTCGACAGAAGATTTCTGAAGACTAACGAAGAGGTCCGACCATTGCCGACGATGTCCGAAGAACCCTCCAAACACTTAACAGTGCTTTCTTCGGAAACAGCAAACATTAAAAATTCTGGGCAAAAACACTAAACACTGAACCCCATTCAGACCCTCATATAAGTACACTGTCTTCTCTCCCCTCTTCACTGAGTAGTGTTCTATTGCACTGACGTAAACAAGCTAGTTCGTAGAAAAATGTTATGTAGCTGCATAATTTTCACTTTCAAGTGTTAACTAACTTCGAAGAAATCTTAGACTTGGTCCAAATGAAAGATGATATTCGTTGCAGAAATGCTGTGTTACAATTAAAAAAAGATTATTTAATTTCTACTCAAATTCACATTCATTTTTGTAAACAAACGACGGAACGATTTTGCAGTATTATGACAGGACATGCAGAACAGTCGGCTTGTCTTGACATTAACACTGTTTCTTTCAGTCCACGTTTAAGTCAAGCGTACAGTTTCTTTACTCACCGAAAGTTCTTAAACTACACACTTCTGAAATTCACGTTGCACGCGCTTAACGTATTCTTCAGCTTTCACCTCAATCTTCTTACGTGCCTCATGACTGTAGTTATGTCGTCTTGATCGGCGCATCAGGCGTGAAAGCCTAAAGGTTTGTTCTGGAAGACTGTGTTCCACGTGTGTTCGTTCTTCATTTGTCAGCAGATGGGTTGTTTCACTTGGGGCAGGAGCACAGAGGGCCACGGATGACTTTAATCTTAGCCCCCTTTTCTCGAGTTTTAAGAATTCTTTTTCCATCGCCGCCCTATCTTCCATCAGGTTAACTACTTGGTAAAACATCTTGCACAGTTTTCGGCATTCTTTCGACGATGGGCCTAAGACAGCTGCGTACTCCACGTAAGTAGCGTCAATCCTCTGGGCTAAATCATCCTCGAAGTTCACGAAGTATTGTTGCATTTCCTGTCGGGCTCTTTCATTCCTTTTCTGGGGATTGATTTGACGCGACCACAGCACAAAAGAGGTAATGTGTGACATCGCCTTGCGCATTCCAGACAACTTTTTCAGAGGATATGCGCAAGGTTTTTCCACCGCGCTAGGAATAACATTTTTATTCCAGCTGATAAAGAACTTGTCACCACCCAGAGTTCCCCCAGCACATTCAAAGGCTTGAGGTCGTGGACCTTTTACAGGCATCACAAGACAATCACGTAGATTTTCGTAACTTTGCTCGTCATCTGTCAGTCGCAACACACGCACGTCTCCTGGATGGTAACATGGGCTGCGTGCTACCACAAACTTTTTGTCAACACCAGGAAAACTTTTTGCTTCGTCATCTGACATAGTGGGGTTGAAATAGCATTCACCGTACTTCAACTTGTTGTAAGGATCGCAAACAGCAAACACTACACGGGACTGAGGAACGAGAATTCTTGTTTGTCCAGGAGCCTTTTTGATCTCGTCTAGCTCTTTACTTCTCAGGGACTTTAAACGCCTCTTCATTTGCGCGTCGATTCCGCGGGCTTTTATTTCTTCCAGCAGTCCCAATTCCCCTTTGAAGCGCAAGAAATACTCTGCTGTTTCTTTGCAGATACCCTCCAAGAGCTCAAAATAGCCTGACTGCAATTTCTCAAGATTTTGAAGAGGAACACCCCTTTCTGCCAAAAGCATGATCATCTGATTGTCCAGATATCCATTCTCGTAAGGGCGAGAATAATCCAGTAGATCTAGAAAGTGGAGTGACTCAGGCATATTCTGTTCTAGTGTCGCAAATTTTCGCATTGATTCGTGGAACTGCACTTTGATTTCCGTCAAGTCTTCTTTCAGGACCAGCAGACCTTCAGTTCCTCGGTAACGGACCTGCACGGTGCTAGGATGATAATCAAGCTTCAGGGTCTTTTGTACCTCCAAAGAGAACTCACGGGACATAAAACCGCACCCATCAGTGAAAGTGTATGATCTAAAAAATCCACGTTTTATGTCTTGCTCGAACCTGCATTGGGCTGGATCCAATGAATGAGTTTGTTTCAAGGGCGAAAGGAGCATGCCAATTTTTCTGGCTCGCTTTCCTATATTTTGTTCTTCTAGAAAGTCGCCAAACTGCGCCAGCAGTCCGTGGATTTCTTCGTGGGATGCATTCATGAAGTAGCAGGACTTTCTCCTCAACTGAGCTTCCAAGTGACCAAGAAAAACGTACAGACGTTGATTCCAGTATATCCCTCTCTCTAGCACTCTTCCACAGAATTCCTTCACATCTTGGGCTCTTTCAATATTGAACGACAACTTCATCAACATTTCGTGGAAATCCTTTTCTGAGCGTTTTTCCAGGAACTTTGTTAATAAGGTGCAATCTACCTTTTCATAATTGACTGTGTAGTTATTCTTACCCGTGCCATGAAATTGCACGTGTAATACGTCGGTGTGTTCGCATCTAGGTGGAAGGTTGTTGGTTTGATCTGTTATGCACAAATGAAATTCCCCGGCCATGGGCATGTAGTTCTGGACTTCTGCAAGGCAAATCACTAAAAATAAGTTTGCAACTTTATATTTTGAAAAAAGTATAGATCGCCCGCGAACGTTCTGGCGAAGAGGAACGTCCGAATCATGAATACTGAAACTTTTATAAGAACGTTTCTTACACATTTCCAACGTTCAAGCTTTGTACAGTTTTCAAGTTGCGTTGCAAGTGCAAGTGGCTGAAACG